GCAGTTCAAAATATATGAACTTCATATATTTCATTGTATCTGATTTATCACTTTCACGGGTTTATTACAAATCAACTTAACGGCCTGCTCCCAGTTGGCTTGTTAGCTCAATTGGTAGAGCGCTGCACTAGTATCACAGAGGTCAGTGGTTCGAATCCCGTACAGGCCTGACTTTCTCAGGTCTGATTTTCGCTATTGCTTAAATAGCGCTATCTACTGCGAGGATCGTGCATCATACGTAATACTGCTAATTTGAATAGCCCACCTTCACTAACTCATCAGACTTCAGTGACAAACAATAAAAATCATTTTAAGGCTTTGAGAATTGGAAATTGATCAACAAACCTCTAGGCACGTGTCTTCCCAAGTTTTACTGTGAATATTCATCAGATTCATTCCAGATCCATCACTAAAATCAATTGGTGCATAGTCACCAATCAAAAGACTTGCTGCAAAGCTGCTAACCAGGGAAATCCTCTCACACATGTTGTATGCATCAGGTTTTAACTCGTATATCTTGGCAATTTGATTTCCTGTGAAGCGTTCATAAGCTCTTGAGCCTGTAATATCACTAAGTCTTTGTGGGCCACCGACTGCATTTTCCAAGTTTCGACATTGTTTTCCTGTACTGGAATCCATCCATATAGGAGAGTCCTTGATAGCAAACGAATCCTAGAAATTGAAATTTGATGAGAAAAGAAGACATTTTAAGTGTATGATGTCTCAGGCAAAAATTAATTGATTTTTTTTTCTTAGGACTGTGTGGTGAGGCTCCCCCTGGCTGTTGATGCTGTGACTCCATGCTGCTAGCAATAAGAAATTAAACATCTCCATTTCCAATCAAAAGTCAGCATATTTCAAGACAAGCAATGACAACTAGCAAAGTTAAATTTCCAAACAAACACTATAGAATATGGCAAGGCTACTACTGATTCCTGTTGTCGGTGAAATTTAACGGGAAACATTATTACCTGCAGAATACAATAAATTAGCTAAGTGTATTACTTTTCTCTTTATCAGAGTCTATCTTTCAGCTTAATTATTTAACAAGCACACAGAACATGAGAACCACCATCACTAGACGATGCTTAAGGTGGCAGGATTCCGATTGGCTATCTCATCACAAATGAAAATGGTAAAATTGTAGAACAGCTCCCCAAAATATCTGTCGGCCGACTGTTCGCCGACAGTTGGCTGACATAATGAAAACAAATTCAGAAACAAGTAAATAGACTAGCGGCCAGATGTCATCTGGCGTGCAAGAAATTTGTGGCAGACATTATGCACACAAGCCCGCTTTATCCCCTAATTTCTAACAGGGTCATTTTGTTGCAAACCTCGTATTTGCTGAGGTTGGGACCATCATGTCGTGCTACATGGCCAAACTGACCGTTTCTCAGAGTTCGTATCAGTTAAATATGCTTCGTCTATTAACAGTGCGTAGGTATGCACATTCGTTTTCTGCTACATTGTTACTATACTATAATTATATCTTTATATTTATATAATTACACGTATACTTGTATAAATACACGTATATTTGTATGTTTGTGAGTGTAGTGTCTGACCCAACCAGTAATTCAGAGAGATCTGCTAATGGTGGAAATAAACAAATATCATTATTGTTACTGTCATTATTGGCCATATTGATATTCATTTATGTGAACTTGATGTGTAGTATCTGACTGACACATTTTGTTCAGCTGAAATTGGAAGAGATTAGTTACTTAGATAATTTTAGCAATGTACAAGTAAATTTTTTCAGAGACTCACAAAATTGCACGAGCCTGTGTTTTCGTTGTGTTTCTGTTGTGTTTTCGTTGTGTTTTCTGTGTTTTGTTTTCTGTGTTTTGTTCGCCAACAGTCGGCCAACAGATATTTGGGGAGCTGTTCTTCAATTTTACCAGAAAATTATTCAACAATACTCTGGGCACCTGAAGACAGGCACAAGCATGGTAAGCTCTAGAATATACAGCAGTATTCTAGAAGAGACAGTGAGATTGGATACCACACCTTGGACACAAACAAAACACTGGCTATGAGCAGTGGAATACATTGTGACCACCTTGCATTCCAGCGGTTACCCATAATTGGTAGTGAGTGAATCAGTGAGTGAGTGAATCTAGACCATTTTAACCCTGTAATGAGTTGGCATCCCATTTAGAAAAGGAGAAGTGCTTTTCCTGGCAGTTCTACCAAAAAAACTTCTAGGTGGAGAGAGCCAGTGTGAGAATTAAGTGCCTTGCCTAACAATTAACTCAATGACCCACCTAAGGGTAAAACAAAGCCCTTCGAATTCGTGAGAAATTCACCCCTCTAATCCCTGGAACAGCGAAGCATCTCTTAAAAATTGTTGATATCCATCGCTTTGTAATTTATCAAGATAAAAAAAGGCACTGTTAAGAAGGAACAAGCGCATGTTAGTGACCCACCCATCATAATAATTTGCACACTCTGTACCTGGAATTGGTCATAGAGAGATTTTCCACTTTGCAAGTTTCTCAATGTCTCTCTCACTCCATTTTTCCAATAAACACTGCCATGTTGTTGTCCTGTTCCAGAAACACAAGCGATAGATCCGAATTCCAGACCCTTGTCTTTCAGTCTATTTAAAACAAGGTCAAAAGCTTTCACCCACAATAACGTTGGCGCTGTAACAGTGAGCTCATCTTTGTGGTGATGAACGCCGCCCCGCGTTTTAAAATCCGGCAAATCGTTGTCGAAGTGCACGGAAGCCTCTGTTATAACTTTAAGATCTTTGTCGATAACTAATGCTTTCAACTGCTGCGTACTTAAATCAAATCCAAGGAAAAGAGGAAAAGCCATTCTTTTTTCCTTCCGGAACCGATTACCTTTCCAAAAATCGGATGTGTTCGGAAATAGTCGGATAATAATCGCAAATGAGATTCCAGGGCATGCGCGTTATTCCCGGTAACCGCGTGCGCTGGCTGCCATCTTGAAGCGTTCAGTCAATGTTTGGTAGTTGTCTAGTGATCCTTTGCATTTCACATCAACAGTCGACCGATGCCTACCAAACTATTTGTAGGGAACATCTCGGAATCATGCAGTGAGGACGATCTGAAGGAAGCCTTCGAAAAATACGGTACTATTGTGGAGCATGCGATAGTTAGAAATTATGCATTTGTGCATTTCGAGAAAAAAGAGGACGCCGAAAATGCGATAAAAGAGCTTCATGAAACTGAACTGAAAGGCAACGTTATTAGAGTATTACTGTCGACCACTCCACATAAGAAAGGTAGAGGAGGCGGTGAAGGAAGAAGTCCATACCCGAGAGACAGAGCACCAGGGAATTCTCGAGGTCCTCCGCGAGGTGGAGGCGGCGGTGGTTATTATCCTCCCGAAAGAAGTCGCTATCATCCTTACTACGATCGCGAATACTACAGACCAGCACCTTATCCTTCGTCATACAACCGGAGTTCGTATGGATATTACAGTACATACGACAGTGACTACAGGGACTATCAGCGGTCTTATCCGCCTTCATCTCCCTATTATTATGGAGACACTAGATATGGCGGACCTGTCACTTACCCGGACACATCGAAGAGGCAATCCTGGGATCGTTAGCAACCTAGCGTGTTTACAGTGCCCTTTTTGAAAAAAAAAATAGCTGAGGGAGGCCAGACTTGTCCTTGAGCATAAATAGTGCTATTTTTTGGATTATAAAGTGTTTTTACTTTTGTTTACATACAAGAGTGCATGCTGCATACCATAGGAATCATTCCAATAGGATAAGTGGAACATCATGACTTTTAATGAATTATATCAACAGATATGATAAACATGGATCCTGGAGACTCTGAAAGTCATACCTCTTTTGTGCAGTTATATTTTCTGTGGTTACTTATTTGAATGCCCGCTAACTATTTTCTATGATTTCATTTAGTTTTGGAAGTGAAAACCAACCATTTTAGAATTGATAATTCTACCTATTTGCCATCACCAGATTCATAGAGTTCTGTAGAATTGTTTTTAGTTAACACTGAAAATTATCTGACTAAATAATGAAAGAATAAAAACTGCAGGATTGGGAAAGTCCTTGATCCCAAAGAATGAAGGGACTGTTTTTTTCTCTTGCATGCAAACTTGAAACAAAATACCAGGGTTGAATCTTTTTCACTAAGCTCAGTAGATTCTGTGTTTTGGCAACTGTTTGTTCATTGTGAAAATTGTGTTGTGTTTTATCAAAACAACGATAAAGTCCTATTTTGTGAGACCAACCCTATAAAATATTTTCATCTTCCTTTGCCTGACTGACCCATTTTTTTTTTTTTGGGTGGGGGGGAGGAGGAAGTATCCAAAAAGGAAAAAAAATCCAAGTGTACTATCTTACTTGCTAATTTTCCAACGCAGATTCCCACTCTAAATAGGAGACAAGGCTCATGTCATTTCTACATAATAATCAAGCCTTTCATCATATCTCAAATTTTCAAGTAAGGAAAACAATTTGCAGGGGGCAGCACTCAAATTTTTGTATTGTTTTTGTTTGCTTGACCAATTGGCCCAATTTCTATGTGAGGATGGTCTTATTATCCTTGGGCTTTGTTTATTTTCCATACAGCATTGATTGTGGTTGGCTGTCAGAGATTTAGCTGTAAGGAAAAATTTTTGGTTACAAGTTTTCCATTTCTGTTGTCTTCAAGATTCACCCTATGCAGTTGACAATTTCAGATTATTTCTGTTCTAAAAGTATGCGCAATTGTATAGATCTTTGTCAAAATGTAAGTAACCTGCAAAGGGACTTTATTCAGGTAGATGTTGGGGATTATTAACATTTTTTAACTTATACTACAAACACTTTTTTAGTTAATCTCTCAATAAAGTGCACGGAACTGTGGTGAAACCTTTGCTTCCTTGATCATTTAATACTTTTATTCTCCATACTAGGAAACCTTTAACTTCCAGGAGCAACCAAGTAAGAACTTCTCCTAACATCATAAATACAATATCAAGCAGACAAGTCATGAGAAATACAGAAATATCAATTAAGGTATTAATCCAATACCTAGCTTCAGTATCAGGCTTTCCTAGGGGGTGAAGGTGGTAGAGGGGCCTTCTTACTGCTCTTGCTTGTCCCCACTCCCCCTGCCATTGGAGGGTATGTTACTCTAGCTATCAAAAACCAGATTCCCAGGACTAACATCATGAGCATTTCATGACAGAGAGTAAGGAGAATGAGATCTTGGGAGTGTTAAGAACTTCTCAGAAAAATTGGGAGTCCCTTCAGTAGTACAGAATAGTGACTCTTAGTTGGAATACCATGAAGTTGTATGAGGATTGTAAAGCCATATATTCTATTTAAATTAATTGTACCAAGCATTTGTGGTTTGAATACAACTGGTGTGATTCATTACTCCTAAGCAATGTCTGTGCCATGAGACCAATGTTACTTCTCTGTGGGAAAGCATTTGTTGAAGAGGGTGTTGAAACTAATTTCATGTCCCTATTTTATCATTGAATTTCCCTCTGACAAGATTCCTTATTCTGTAAACTTAAAAAATTATCATGATAAAGAATTGTTTTTTATTTCTAGCCCTCTTTTATCCTTGCAATTTTAAGGCGGTAATGTTTTGCCTGTTCTGTGTTCTTGTATGAATCTTGTAACTGGTTCAATGATAAATTAGTTTGAGAATTGGAATTGTAACCAACCTTGATTTTTTGCAGAGAGTAAGTTTAACTTATTAGACTTCCCAATAAATATATGTAATCTGCTGGGGGTATTAGTTAATTACCAGAAGAAAGTTTGTTTAAATGTTGTGAAGAAAATCCTGGACAAAATTTTGAAACCGCTGACTTTCTCCTTTATTTATCCCACAATGCAACGAGGGCTTACAGAGAGGATAAGAATTATAATAAAAATGGCGGATGATAAGGTTCCAGAAAGGTTTGAGTTGTTAGAGCAAACAATTGAACAGTTTGTAGAAACAACACGTCAGATAGGAATCATTGTCAGCGATTTTCAACCTGGAAGTCAAGGTGTTCTCAATCATAAAATGTAAGTGTTCTATCCACGAGTGTTCAATGTTTTAATTTGGGATCAATAGAGCCGGGTTCGATAGAGCCGTAATCGACCGAAATCAAAGCGAAAACTTGGCTTAAATATTTGCTGAAGTATAAATGCTCCCCTCGTTCTATGGCTGTTAGCGTTGGGATTTCGTCAATCATCTTGCAAAGTTCTGATTTATCGCGAGTCATCTCCCCTAACATTGGAATTAATTATATCACACAAGTTCTTCCCTCTAATGGCTTGCCCGCGTGTTAAGTTTAGACTGGTTTTTGTTTTGTTTCAGAAACTCGATGATAGACAACATGAGGGAAATTGAGAAATGTAAAGCACATGTTCAAGATGTAGAGGTCCCGTTAGAAGTATTTGAGTGAGTGTATCTATTGGTCTTGATTACCATGTAAACTTATTACCAAAGCTGATCATTACACCAAGAAATTATTCAAAGATCAATTATGCCACAAATGTCATATTATTTTCATCCCCAGCATTAAAAGGAATACGTAGAAGCATTTATTTTTACTTGCATTCTAAGTTTCCAAAGTGTAACAGCAGTTCAAAGAAAGTGTTATATACTGTATTACCTGGGAAAAGTGCCCAGGTGCATATTGAAAATTTTGGCTAAAAGGAGGGGCATTTATTGGAAGGAGAACGTTTAATCGAGGGGGGCACTAATTAAATTTTCCTCTCAACAAACTGCAACTTCATTTTGGCTCACAAAAACTACACCAATATCCACACAGATGTAAAGTCCTTAAGGTTAAGTTTTAATTGAGCTATTATTCATTATCAACTGTTTTCTTCAAAACTATCCCAATAACTTTATTACCAAGAAAATTACTGGTTCTCCAAGACTATAGAATGGTCTAGTATTCCTGTGAAGTTTATAAGTGCATTATTTATAAGTGCAATTGTTAGAAAATAAAAAGGGGTAACACACACAAAGCAACCCTACAAGCGCATGGAGATAGAAACAACTGGAAAAGAAATGATTCTTTTTGACTGATTGTAGTTGAAACCAAAAAAAGTTAATGATATGTGGCAACAGAAACAGGTTTTTCCTTTATCCCCACTGTTTAAGAGTGTGACGGAGGAGGGCATACTTATTCTAGAGGGGCAAGTTTGACCATATAGTGAATGGGGTTGGGCACTTACTTTAGGAAGTACAGTATTTGTGGAGCCCATTTCTCCTCTCAAAGGCTGATAAACCAGCAATTTTTTTTTTCTGGTAACAGGTACATAGATCAAGGAAGAAATCCTCAGCTGTACACTAAAGACTGTCTTGAGAAAGCACTAGAAAAAAATCAGCAAGTGAATGGCAAAATAGATGCATACAAGGCGAGTTAACCTTGCATTAAAAATTTTTGTAGTTTATGAATTACAAGTTAATAAGGGTAGGGAAACTGTTGTGGCAAAAATAAGTCAGCACCATGTGAACTCTGTAAACAAGCCTTGTGGGAAGAGGGTATACAGTAAACATTACCTCTGCCAGCTGAACAACAAACAGTGACAAATTTTTAAATCCTCTCTGTCAATGCATCATAGGGGAAATCTCTCCAAAAGTTACATAACCTAATTCCTCTTTCAGCAACTAAATTGAGGTGAAATTCTCTGAAATTGAAATTCTGAAAGATATTTGTCAGTGAGTAAAATGCAGTTCATTTGACTCAAGATGTGAAACTGGGAACCTATTCATAGTCTAACAATTCCCTTGGTAAGGACATCATGACAAGATTACCTCAGTGATTTAGTCAGTATCAATACCCCCTTTTGACATATCTACCATGACATTGTCCAATTTTATTTATACTTTGCTATTAGCCTGTGCTAAAATCACATGCTTCTTTCGGTCAATACTATTATTGGAGCAAATGACGGTGACAACTTTGTCCTTTTACACAGAACTTCAAGTCACTCCTTGTTGATGAACTTTCAAAGCATTTTCCCAAGGAGATTGATGAATACCAGAACATCAAAGGGCCGCAGATGAAGTCATGATTTTGGATCAAGATTAGAATGACTTAATTTTGAAAATAATTATGTAAATATGAATATTGTTAGCAGCTTAGCATCCTGTCTCTATGGTCTATCTGCTTGTAAACTAAAATTCTGTCGATGATAGCATAGCTCTACAGTGAAAGGGTTAAGTTGAAAGGGTTAAGCTCACAGGTCAATCTTGCCACATTCTACAAGGCACTTATTGTCGTGCCTTTTTAAATGAAAATTTCATTCCCAACTAGCGATATTTATGTAAATTTTATCATGATGATGGATATTTCTAATAACTTCATTGTATGTGGTTATAGAAAAGCCCTGCTGTAGATATCCTGCAACAACAAAACATATTTCTTTCATTCCCTGACAAAGTTCTTTATTGGGGGGTGGTGTAATGCTTCATGATGTTTAGTAGACATTTTGAAACAAAATACATCCATCAATTGAAAAAACTTAGACACTTAAAATTGGTAACTTCACAATGTATTAATTTCATCTCTGCAAATATTAAGTTGGACTAACATTAAAGAGAAGGTTTTAATGACAAGATGTTTGTGCATAATGTCAGCCAGCTGGGGGAACAACCCTTGCCGTTAAGTAACATTTTCTTCAAAATGAAAAGGAAGCCCTCTTTATCCAGATAATACAACTAGTAAAGCCCTTAACATTCCATTCTTGCCTTAAAATTAGTACTGGAATCCACGAAAAGGAAGAAGTTCCAGGCCAGATTCATTACATTATCAATTCACTAGATAAAACCAAATTATCAGGTTCATTAAATACCTGGGTTCAATAAATATAAGTAGTGTTGCTTTTGATATCACAGAACACAGATGCACTTTGAATCATGGTCAACAACAAAGTCTTTTACAATATTTATGACTTAATGTATGTTTTCAACATACAGCAGAAGAAGATTCTGTTGTCAGGGTCTCCTTCAAGGAGGCCTTCGACGTACATGTCACAGATAGCTATTTTCAAGCATATGACATCCTCTAAACAGCATACTATACTCCTTCCACTTTGAATCCATTTACTCCTTTGAATACTCTTGGCCTGATACTTCATTCCACACTTCTTCCCATGAATGGAGCTGACCACCCTCCTTGACTCAAATTTTAGCAATGCACTTTAATCAGCTAGAAGTAGTTGATGATGAAGAACACTCACAAAAAGCCTGTGGAAATATGGTAGCTTGTTCAAGTCCTTGTTTTGCTTGTTCAAGTTCTGAGTTTAACCTGGTTGTTGCTTGCTCAAACTCCGCATTGAGCCTACTTGTAGCATGTTCAATGTTAGCAGCTAAGTCTTGAACCTCTTTGTTAATTTTTGTTATAACCGTCTCCATAGCTTCTCTTCCCTGCAGAAAAAAATAGAAGTCTTGATTTACATTAACACATACCACAATTACGTATGATGCACAATTCTTGCAGTAGAGACCACTATTTATGCAATAGCGAAAATGAGACCTGAAAAAAATCAGGCCAGTACAGGATTCGAACCACTGACCTCTGCGATACTAGTGCAGCGTTCTACCAATAGCGCTCTCTACTGCGAGAATCGTGCATCAAACGTATCTATAACCGCAGTTCAAAATATACGAACTTCATATATTCATCCTACATACCACAATTATTGTTAACATCATTAAAATTTTATTTAAAGCATATTTTACTTATAATTCATCATCCATACCTTTGACGCATTACTGGCCATTGTATTCTTGATAAGACTTTCACAATAGTCTTTGAAGCTAACTCCAAAAACCGTGATTACTGCATCTTGTGTTAGTCTAGTTCTAGAAAATAAAAATTACACTTACAAAATTAGGCAATACTACTATAGTTCCTTGTTGAAGACAAACTTTTCTACTGAGATTACCCTCAACTTGCTTTGGGGAAGCTGGAAATTCTTTAAAGAAACTCAAGAGGATATGTTAGAGATCATTTTAAGGTAAAAAACACATTCTGCTTTGACTTACTTGTTAATTTCCTGGTCTTGAGTATAAGTTACTGTCTCATCTACATCTGCCCAGCCCGACAGTGTTACATTCCTACTCGCCATTGTCATTGTCTTTGCAACTGGATCAACCACAGAGTGTTCATAAGCATAACAGAGGTTATCAACTCCAATCATGTTACAAACCCATGAAGGTAAAAATCCTTCAGTGCCTACAAGTCTAGTTGTGTGTAATCGTCCTTGTTCATCCACATGTCTGTCTAGAACATCCATGGTTTTTACATTAGGATTGAGATCGTTAGGATACTTTCGCCATACTGCTTGAGTGACACGATCCCAGCAGTGACTTAAAGGAAAAAATGCCACCATTAGTTACTACCATGAGAAAGCTGAAGACCCAAATAATGTGATTTTTCACCTCAAGCCTCTCAGAGAGACTGACATGTAAGTCCTGAGGTTAACTCATATGTCAAAACACTCGTAGTTGCAAATCACTGACTATGGTTATGTGAACTATTCACCACTAGAACTTTAAGTACATGTTATTTCAAACATTAAGGACTTGGTTTATTTTGCTTTAACATGCAATGCAATTACACATTTTAAATCAGTCAGAAGTAAAGATTCTACTCTGAACTAAGTTTGAAGCTGGTGTGGAATCTTCGGAATCTCACATCACAGCCACAAGTTAATTTTTAAACCCATCTTATACAATAAACCATACATGATTTCTAGAGAGTTCTTCACCTTTGCGTATATAGCTTAGATGAAACATCAAAATCTTAGCAACCGGAGTAATAGAACAGATTTCCAAAAGAAATGAAAAAAGTCAATTCCCTGGAAGTCTTTACAAGAATTGTAACGCAATTATAGAATTGAGTATCTTTCTGTGACTAAATAATGCTTTTGAGACACCAGTGTTGGTCTGATTAAAAATTTTAGATTAATTTTCTCAGCCAAGATATAACCAGAGTCATCCTTGGGGAAGCTTGTTAGTTACATAACATAGCTAGTAATGATGGAATAACAAAATAGCTAAAAAGGGTACTCCTAATCAGTCTGACTAGTTGGAAATAAAGCAACACAACCTTTAAGCACACTTCTATTGCAATTTTGGCATATGTATCACAGCCCTGCCAAGCTGTCAAACTTTCTAGTACAACATCATATTGGAAGAGAAAGTTTTACCACTAACATTTAGCTGCCTCTTAACCTCCACCCCAGCATCCTAAATTCTACTTTCCTATCCAGTACAAAATATTGTTGACTTCAGGGCCTCCCTATGCAACTTCACTGATGGATGATTACGTAAGGGGGTGTGAGTGAAATGTTGGTTGCAGAGTTATTCACTTTCTCTTGTCAACGGGGAAACAATAAGCTTTGAACACCTTCGAAAGACAGACAGTAATGTTTTCCGGTAAACTTCTACCAAGAATTTAAAAGATTGAAATCAAGACAGTTTCAGGTTGCTATAAACATGTATAAGAGCACTTACTTCTACATGCATGGTTGAATTTTCAAACGAAAGAAAAACATTTCACACCCATCAAACATAAACTGAGCCTTAAAAATTCTATATTAAAAACTAACAACAGAAAGGCCTCAGTTATTGATACAAGATGACATAAGATGTAGAGTAAGTTTCCGACATTACACGTGAATTTCAATGTTTACGGCACGTGAATATATGGAGACTTCAAAAAACAACATACATTCAAATTGAGCTTAAAGTTGATGAAAACCAAACAAAAATGGTTTATACTCACTCGAAAATATGCTCTGAGGACCAAAATTTCATAACTCACGATCAAATGTTGCAAGGAATTCTTCACCGCTGATACGTTACCCATGTAGGAGCAAACAATATATCCAATACTGCCCCCGCTTCACATGAAATGAACAAAGTCCGATCTTACGCAATTACATGATTTGATTGGTCGAAGAGCATTAATTTATGCAATTAGGATATGATTATGACTCAACAAGATGACGCAGAACTTTCGAAAACTCAGGTGCACTATGGGATAGTTTTTGTGAAGGTTACATAGAATACATATAGTTACAGCAGATATCCGCTGACGTAGATTCTAGATGGCGGTCTTCAGACCATGTTCCATTCTGCACAGTGTTTTGGGGTCAAATTTTCCCTCTTTCCTGTAACGAAGTTTCACTTTTTTCATTTTAAATAATGGATGACTATGGAGAAGATGTTGGATGGGATGATGCAGCTGTAGGTTGACATTTTGTCTTTTCTATAGGTCTTATTTCATGATATTCAACTCAACGACTTGGTAAACTGGCTAACTTACTGACCGTATATTTTCCTTTTTCCTTTTAGCTGAGTCCGTCAGATGAAAAAAGGGACAATGAAGTTGTTATACAGGAGTGTATGCAAAACTTTGCTACAAAAGACTTTATCATGGAACCGGAAATTTTCAACAATCTCAGGAGGTTAGCATGTATAGACTTAACCATAACGGGTTCATGTTGATCTTTAATCTTTAATAGTATCCTCCTAAGACAGGGGAAAAAAAACTGTACTTGGAGTTTTTAAAATGATATCATAAAAAATAACAATAATTTCAAAAACAATGGCACTAAGTAATGAACGACAATCGGTTAAAATTCTTCATATAAATATGATCCTATGAATTACAAATACATAAATATAAAAACAACAATAAAACATATTGAATATATAAATATAGCTATAACATAATGTACTATACATGTAGTGTAATTGAAGCAAGGTTCAAAACAAAGGAATCTTTGAAAATTACTTTTAAATATTGGTGAAAATGAGCAAAATGAGGTAGCTAGGTTGTGGTGAATTGTCTACCTCTATAGTGTGCTTAATGTCAAACCTTGAACTTCAAACTATATGCAAATGCTGTATTATAGATATTACCAGGCAGGAGGAATCCATGAAGAAATGGCAAAGATGTTGTCTGAAAATTATACTGGAATTGCTCAGAGTACAAATTTAATAGCAAACTGGTTGATTGTAACAGGTAAGGTATTTAAAAGATACAATTACTGCATTGTAGTGTTTAAAGGTCATCATTTGTGTTTGATTTTACTATATTCACATATTATGGGAGTGAATAAAGTGAATAATTCAATACCTTAATGGCAGCATAGGCTGAATTGCTAAGGTCAACAGTGTTGCTAAGGTTGAGATTGGATGTCAGCATTATCAGGCACCTCTGGTAGCTGCTTTAGTCCATGTAACAACCTCACCTTTTCCCCCCACACATCCCACCCCAGGGTAGGACATCCATCACACAGTAATCTCGTGCGTGGGAAATTAACGTCTCCTAACCCTAACCCTGCGGGAGAGGGACCTCCATTTATTCATCCTTATCCAAGAAGACTAGAATATCTATCCATTTCATTGATGTTATAGAAAGGTAGCAAATTCTCCTCAGTTATTTTAAGACCATCAGTATTGGTCCGGCCAGGGCTCGAACCCTCGACCTCCCACACAACACAATCCAGCACTCTAACCAATTGTGCTAACCAGGAGGCGGTTAAAGGTGGTTATTAAGGGTGAAGTGAACATCATTACTTAATATTGATTTCCAAATATTTGGTGACTTTTTGTTGCTACCCTGTAAACAAAACTGATACAGACTTTATTACAAATATCAATGGCAATGGCAAGAAAGTTGTTGTGGACAATTCATTGTCTGAAAAGTGTTGTCCTATTGCAGACCTGCCAACCCCTGATAAAGGAAAATCTGGAGACCCATGAAAAAAAACCTGGAGATTCTACAAAAAATCGTGAGATTCGATTTTTTTTCCCTATCAAGATTAAAAAAAGCCCTTTTCTATCAGGGAAAGTCATTAATAGTCTATCTAAATCTTGCTTTAACCCTAACCCACCATCTCTTTTCGCCATGTTTATACGATTGGCATTGCGATCACTTCCTGCGCTGAACTTACAAAGACTACTTGGAAATTCAACATGGATATGAGGTCCAATATAGGAGATGCCTGGGAACTAGACACCAACCTCATTCCCAGGGCCTACTTCCCTTAGAAAAATAATGGTGGACAGACACGAACACAAACCTGGAGAAAAACGATTAAGTTTATTGAACACAGGCAAAAATCACAGCTTGGCACAAAAAAGTAAGAACAGGGTTCTTCTTTATTTGTTTATCACTATATGGCACTAGCATTTCTCATTCTTTTCCCATAATTTTTTCAACAACTTAATTTATTTCATTTCAAATGTTTTTCCCAAAAACCCATGAGATTGCAGAGCCTTGTCGTGAGACCGTGAGAAATGAAAAAAAATCATGAGACTCATGGCAGAACCATGAGAGTTGGCAGGTCTGCTATTGAAACATGCTGGTCAATCAGACAAAGAATGAAACAGAGTTCAGTCTACATGTAGAGGTTGTGTTAGCTTGTTTTCACTTTTTATTTCTATTTCTCCAATTTCTACATCTTTTGTATTGATTTTAGATAAGTCATTAATATGTACCAAGCCAGAGAACATATCTTGTCCTTTTTCCTGTATTCATAGGAAAAACCATGTATGCTAATTAACTATCTGTACATTGCTAGGATCAGCAATGTCAAAAGTATCCAATGCTGTGATAGAGAAACAGGACATGGTAAACTTAAATTCTTAATATTTTCTTATTTTCAAAGGAGCTAAAGTGACAGATGTGGAACAAATGGTTGAAAATCACCTGGAAACCCTGATTATCAAACACTTTGACCCAAAAAAAGCAGACTCTATCTTTTCTGCTGAGGGGGAGGTAAGTAAACCCTGATTATCAAACACTTTGACCCAAAAAAAGCAGACTCTATCTTTTCTGCTGAGGGGGAGGTAAG